TATATATATATATATATATAGAGAGAGAGAGAGAGAGAGAAAGAGAAAGTCAGATTTACAGTCACATTTTACAATTATCGCGAGGATATTCTGTTTGTACGTCACCGGTTTCGGACAGACAGGTTGTTGGTATGCGGAGTCGGTTGCCATTGACGACGTGCAACGACATAACCCAGCAATGGCTTCATCGCGCATCTGTTCTGTGTTCGTGTTTCATCACGCCACCATTCCGTGTTCGCATTTCATCACGTGTTCCACGTTCGTGTTTCATCTCGCTTCTGTCTCATGCCTGGTTTCATCTCGCGTCGTCTGCCGCTGCTGCGTGTGTTGTGTAGGTGTGTGACGTCGCCGCGTGCCGTCGTCGCCGTGAGAGCGCTGCAGGACGCCAGCCTGTACGAGCTCGCTGGCTTCCAACGTCACATCATGGCCGCCGTGTGGCAACGCGTGCGCGACGACGCGACCAGCCTCGTAGCCGGGTAAGCGCGGGGGCGGGGGCGGGGGCAGGGGGGGTCCGTGGCGGGGTGGAGGTTCTGCGGTGGGTGGGGTCGGTTTGTAGTAAAAGGTGGTCGGTTTATAGTAACACTGTTACTATAAACCGACCACCAAGGTGGTCGGTTTATAGTAACAGCAAGGTGGTCGGTTTATAGTAACAGCAAGGTGGTCGGTTTATAGTAACAGGTGGTCGGTTTATAGTAACAGCAAGGTGGTCGGTTTATAGTAACAGGTGGTCGGTTTATAGTAAAAGGTAGTCGGTTTGTAGTACCAGGTGCTTGGTTTATAGTAAAAGGTGGTCGGTTTATAGTAAAAGGTAGTCGGTTTATAGTAAAAGGTGGTCAGTTTAACTTTATAGTAAAAGGTGGTCAGTTTAACTTTATAGTAAAAGGTAGCCGGTTTATGGGAATACGTAGGTTGGTCTGTATTAAAAGGTGGTTGGTCTGTGGGAAAATTGCATTTGGTTTATGATATATGGTCTATGATGGAAGACTGTAGTAAAATGCAGGTTAGCAGTTCTCTCTCTATTTTTATCTGGGTTCCTGTTAACCTCGCATTTTCCTCTGCCCTGCCTCTCTAACAGATCCAAGACGTGTTCGCGTAAATTGAGGGACATCTTTGACAAACTGCAGATACTCGCAGGAGACGACCGCGAAGGAGGTGATGACTCATCGTCACGGTGAGTGTCGTCTGCTTCGCGTGCTACTTACAAGAAGAGAACGTGTTTCAGCTATTCACACGATCGATTGCATTCGCTGGCTGTTTGGCTATAGTACCTTCTAATACTTCTATGGCCGAGTAAAACTGCCTGAAAATGGTTTCTTTGTAGCGCTGTTCACACTCGCACAGTGTTCTCTTGTTTGACATTATTGTCGCTTCCAATCAGGAGGATATATATATCCATGTGATATTCTCAGACTATGAATTAGCTGTGCAGCTATAAGACCTGAATCGATTTTGAAATGCGTTCGTAGGGGGAGCCACGCGTTTTGCTGGATGTATGGCATTCATGACGTGGCATCTTTTGTTTCAGCGTGGAGCTGTCAGAGGTCGCGACCTTGCTCGTTGAGTTTCAGACGCGCGCCGCCTCGCGGGCGGGGCGTCTGAGCGTCGGCATGGAAACGCCTGCGGGCTGCCGTGCGTGGCAGGGCATATCTACGGTGCGTTCTCCCTCGGTGTGTTTAACACTGCCTCTCTCAGTCTCAACAACATAGCTCTCATTACACTAACGTACGCGACTGCACGGAAGTTTTCGTCGCTAACATAATCGGTTCGTAATGGTTTTGTGCTGCGTCGTTTTTAGTTACTTGAGAGCCTGCAGGTGGCGCTACTGTCTGAGACGCACCTCGCCTGCTGTTTCGTCGCTGCGGCCGTCGCTCTCATCTGTCTGCCTACATGTGTGTATTATCAGTTGCATCGTCATGGCAACCGTCGGTGTTTCATTACTGTTTCATGAGATGGGTTACTCTACAAATTGTTAAAAAATGCAGTCGTCTAATGATATATAAATGCAATTATATGGCATAAATTAATTATATTTATTATTCCGTAATTAATATATATTATTAATTCTATTATTATTTCTGTAATTAATATAAGCATTAAATATTCCGAAATGTTTATTTAAATTTCTTTTAATACACCGCACTGCTATTTGACCGGGTGTCCGGATGTAGACAGATTGTCGTGTGCGCAGGGGCGAACAAGGAAGCTTCTCTACTGGGAAGATTCACGTCTCTCATGGAGCAGACGCTCGACCTTGGACGACCTTGTGAACTGCTTCGTCGCTCCGTGCCGGAGGAATTCTTCGAAAACATGCGATCTTACGTCAACGCAGAAGGTGAAGGCATGGGTCAGTGAGAGAGACTGTGGTGCTAATCAGTATTTAGAAGCAGGGTGTATTTAGTCAGTATAGAGTATATAGTACTTAGTTACAAGTTATTACTGTATTGTGTTGTACTAACTGCTTAATTTTCCAGTAAAAACGGTTTGTAATGGCATACCAAGGGAGACATCAAAAATAGCTTTTATAGACAAGTGGCTGTTTTATAGAGGTGGTCTCGCTGTATAATTGCTACTCAAAGGGAATGTGTGGCTGTTTTATAGAGGTGGTCTCGCTGTATAATTGCTACTCAAAGGGAATGTGTGGCCTTTATAGACAGGTGGCTCTTTAATAGGTGTGACCGCTAACACAGGTTTGACTTTTTTAGTAATAAAAGTCGATGAAATGCTACAGTTTACATTATTTGCACATCGTCTTCGCAGAGTACCCCCGCCTGACACGATTCTTGGTGAAGCTGAGCATGGGTAAAGCGCCCCCTGGCGAGCGAGACGGCGGAAGCACTCAGGACAGTGTGGTGCAGTTTGCCCGCCGCGTGTACACGTGTTCACCGGACGAGCTACGTTCCATCGTCAGCGATCTACTGCAGCAAACAGTGAGTAGTTCGACTGTAGAGGTAGCAATCTATACTTCCCACACGCTTTACTAAAGCACAGGTGTCATTGCAAGGTTTTTATCTTGAGGTTAACACGACATATGAGGTTGCATGTATATGTTAACTCGACGGATTTCCTTCATTTTAACGAGCTCGACAAAACAGTAGTATGAAAATTAATTTTATACATCAATAACCAGTTCTCGTTCAGATCGGTAATCGCGCAACTGTTACGTAATTAATTATTAATTAATTAATTATTAATTACTGTAACGTTAAATTTACTCGTTCCTAGATGCAGAAAGACGCGTTTCTCTTATCGCTGCCGCTGTGGGAGCAGCTACTGACCCGCCACCTAGCGGACGCCAAGCAGAAGACACTGCTGCCGTTACTCGTGCACGTCGTCATAGCGACGCAGGGTCTGTGCGGGAGCGACGACCCGGCGGTGATATGTGCGGCGCTGCATCTGCAGACGCTCGTGCTGCGATCTACAAAGGTAGGCAGCGATCTCGCTTTCACGGCGAGGTCTGTGAGCGACCTCGCTTTCACGGCGAGGTCTGTGTGCGACCTCGCTCTCACAGCGCGGTCTGTAAGCGACCTCGCTCTCACGGCGCGGTCTGTGAGCGACCACGCTCTCACGGCGCGGTCTGTGAGCGACCTCGCTCTCACGGCGCGGTCTGTGAGCGGCCTCGCTCTCACGGCGCGGTCTGTGAGCGACCTCGCTCTCACGGCGCGGTCTGTGAGCGACCTCGCTCTCACGGCGCGGTCTGTGAGCGACCTCGCTCTCACGGCGCGGTCTGTGAGCGACCTCGCT